AAAAAAGTTAAACGTGAATATTGAGGAAAAAAAAGCCATTTCTGAAAAAATAGGAACTTCGAAAAATCTACTCATTCAAATACGACTATTTGATCATAAGTTGAAATCAGATAAGCGACAGTTTTAATCTGATCAGTGGTAGGCAGATGTTTTGTCATGGTATTAAAGATTTTCAGTCAGTTGTATGTGTTATTCATCATACAGTATTGAAGGACCAGATTTCAGTAAAAATATCCCACCTAAATTGATAACAATTCAATGTTTGAATTCGATTGCGTGGAAGTGGAGTGAATATTACGGATATTACACAATAAGGTCATCTGCAAATGTAATCATATTGTATGATAGCTAACCATTACTAACCAATTCGTGAACAACAAGTGTTTTCACTATTTCATCCAAATACTGCATATCTTATCCTACATTTTCAAGAATAGATCTTTTCAGTTGAAGTTAATAAGTACTGCTACATTTCATGTTTTTGTAGAAAATTTTTTCAAAGATAAATAAATAATAATACACTAGGTATATATTTTTATTTAACAACATTTATGTACCTAAAGTAAACATATTTACTTAGTTTTCCAGAAGATTAAGTAAAAACACTCTTAAATTCATTTGGTGTGGTTTTACTTGTATCTTCCCATTGTTATTTAGGACTGCAATTGATCAGTTTCTTGTTGACATATTTGCATCCTGTACGGACTGCATCGATAAAGCCTTAAGTCACAAGCTTTTTAAGCTAAGATGGGTAGTAGCTAGCCATGAAATCCAGTACGCGCGTTTCGTCGTATTTGGGACTCGTTAGATGAATGTAGGTGCATCTCAGAGTTGATATTCACTCCTGGACTCGAACCCAGTGAACATCAACTCTGGGATAGAGGTACATCCAGCTCTTTTCTTCAAAAAAATGAATATTGAAAACAGCATCAGTTCGTAACCAAGTACTTGGTTTGTAGTGTTTTGTTTTCTAATACCAAAATATTTTTAATAGTTAATTTGCAAGTCAGCTGGAAAAACTAGTAAAAAAATAATAAAGAACTAAGCAGCAGATTGTCATTAATAGACTGAGTTTGAAAATATTAGACAAATTTTTTTAACCCACTGCCTTAATCATATGATGTTTGATGTGAGCTTTGAAACTCTTAGGTTAAATTCATCAGCAATGTTTTGCAAGAAACCTTTAACGTTATAGTTGTTAAATAATGCATTATCATTTACACCTTTCGAGAGTCTTACTAAATTCTGAAATGATCATGTTAATCTCTTCTGTTGTAATGTCTTTAATGTCAAAAGAAAATGTTATGCAGGTTTTTGGGCTTATATTATGTTCTTTAAGTAGATTATAGTTTAGATGTATATAAAATATTAAAAATATAGATATTATTTACAGCTATAACAATCTTGATCTGTTTATTCCAGTTCTTTGTGGTAATAAAAATATAGTTTTTCTATGTTTACGGAAGAAATAAATGATCATGTAAAGGTTCATTGATTTGGTAAGGCTAATAAGTCAATTATTAACCCCCAGTGAAAGTTCGTTTGGTGGGAACTTTGATAATTAAAACGTTACTACAAAATCTGTTAAGGTCTATACGATAAACACGAATTATTCACTTCATATAATGCTGATATGATCATATAGCTATAACAGTCAAGAACACAAATTAGATAAGTCAATACAAAATTTAATAAGAGGGTTCACAGATAACAAAATTAGTAATTTGGTGGATTTTAGACACATGTCTCCCTAATGGTCGGTTTAAGATCACTGTAATAACATTTAACTAACATAACGGAATATCACATTTCTCAACCAAAGTCAGTCAATCTAACGCAGCATACAGCATGACTATTTTGAAGTCTGTTTAAATAATGATCACATAATTCCATTTATTATGTGATTGGAAAATTTCAGTGAAATATATCGTCTTTAAGTTTTATGAGTGATTAACATCATTAGAAAATACAATAGAAAGATATAGTAGAAGTTAAATTACACTAAAACTTTTGTTTGTGAACCTTCGAGAATTCTCAATACATTCAAAAGTAAAAAAAATTAAAGCGTCCAGTTTTGTGTGACAATAAATAATTCAAAGTGGTTTATATCAAACTTTACGCTAACAAACAATCCGAATACTCAACAGATCCACTACAACTATTAAAACAATAGGAATAAAAGTGAATTAGGTGGATAAGCGAACGATATTGTATGTTTTTAGTAATTCTCGACATTATCTGTCATATTTCAGTGTTCCATTTTGTGTGTATACTTTATTCTGTAAATTTGGTTGACATCTGGATTTATTTACGTCTAAGATAGTTGCGTGATCTGTATCTATCGACAAGATATTTAACTCAGATAGCATTTTGACCTTAAGAAAATGAATAAACAAAGGATCCTATACAAAAAACATGAAATGACTATATGTGATTTGAAAATGTTTCAACGACTTTAACTTATATAGTACAGCTATCAATAAGTTGACTATGTTTGAACGTGATATATTTTTCTATGTAGTACGCAACTTATGGTAAAGTGTAAGAATTGGATGAATACAAAAATATATGTAATCTAGTAATATAATAGTTACTTTAAATCAATCCACTATCCTTATTCCCAAACAACTCCGCCTAGAACTCCTCAAGGGTCACTGTCGATTCTAAGCCCTAACAAAGGAATATGGGCTTGATTTAGGATTAGTAAACCCACATCATAAGAAAGGAACTAGTTAAAAACGTTACGCAGAGAAAGTTTGTATAGGGACCTGGAGGAATTACGACATCTCATGAGGAAAACCAATATTCTTTGATAGCTACGAGGATGATGACTCTCCTGACAATCATATCAAGTTAATCCATCCATACAAAATGTCCGGACAATAAGGAAGATTATGAGGATTGTCCGAACAGCCATAGAAATGAGACGATGCAAGATGACCATGCTTTAACTAGTTCAAACCCATTGGGCAAAATCTGGACAGAAAACAACTAACTTCAGTAGAATCGATGTTGAAGTACCGTGAGAGGGAGAAAATCCCCTTACAGAATCCCAAAATGGAACAGACTCACAGTTTACAATTTGGTGTACCAGATCACGTTAGGCTCACCAATGAAGATGGCACAGGTATTCAGTGTTTGACAACGCTTTTACCAGTAACACCTATTAAAACTCGTACCCACCAAGAGAAATCAAAAGACAGAACCGAGAAGATCAGAAGTTGTATTTGACGATTGTCAATATATCGGAATTGTCTGATCTAGTCTGGCTAGCGATTGCAGTAGATGTTCAGCACGACGTTACCACACGTGATCTGGTGAGGATGCATGACCGAGCGCCTTCAGCTAGGTGAGTCTGTAGTGGCAATGGACCATAACCACACAATCTTCTAAACTGAACACAAGACTACTCAGAAAATAGATATTCAATATTTAACGCGGAGAAATACCTAACGATGGAGAAGGCACGAATAAGGAGTTAAATTGACTGGAGTTGATCGAGTGGTATGGATAGGCCATACAGGCCTGGTCTCTGCTGAATGTTACCTTATATCTTCTATCCATATTAAATATATTGTTCTTTCTCTAGCCTAAGCTTGTTCTCCATCATGTATTGGTAATTGTCACGATAGAGTGAGTTGGTGTAGTCGATGGTGTGACTTCCACGTAACATCTTATAGGTTAGGCAGTTATATCATGACAAATCTACAAATTTAGGATTAGGTCTATTATTAGAGCAGCACTAATGTTATAGTAGACCATAATTCTACAAGTCCGCTAAAACTAATCTGGTCAGCATCCAATGTCGAAAACTTACAGAGCTATTTATTTTGGGGATTTATTTACCTCTACATGGCCAAATCACAAGACAAGACCCAACTTGGGGTCGTCAAAGTGGAGGGAAATGAGGCAGACGGAAGAGCATATGTCTGCGGGAATCGGGAAGAGACACTAGAACCATGAATACTATTTGGAGACAACTTGAAAGCAGAACCCAGAAGACCTATTTCGACATCCCTGGTCGTAGGACTGTGCCTTATGTGGGGAGGTTACAAACTTAAACAGTTAAGTAGTCCAGAATCCTAAATATGAACTCTGCTAGTCTCAGGTGGAAAATCCAATCTCTTAAAATTAAAAGTGTTATACTTGTGGAAGGTATTACTGACTCAAGTGTAACCTGTTAAGGATTACTCGAGATAAGCAATACACTAGGATTTATAGCTGCATATACTTTTAAGACCTATTTAGCTATTTATTGTGTTATTTTATTCAACTAGTAGTATTCTGGGATTAATGTAAACATTAGTTTTTTTAAAACTTATTTACTAGGTACAGATTTGTGTATTCGGTTTCAAGGAAAACTCTAATTGAAAGGCCTGATGATACCATGTAGTTGCCCAAACCAATGTAAGTGAAGCAGGGACACAGCCTGTGACTGAGTGGCTAGAAGTAGAAAGCCTCAACCACTGATCCCACTACTTCACTGAAAAATAGCAGCCTGTAAATGAAAAAAATTGAGGGTTAATCACAGAGACACTAGATTTATTATCAATTGGTTGATGAAAACGTTTTGAATAAAAAAAGTAGTCAACAGTTAACACTGTAATGAATATTGATTTAGATTCTCTCAAAGAATGAGGGAGTAGACAAAATAGTAAAAGGATGTAGGAAAACAAAACCATTTTTACAAACCAAAATATTAAATACAACGCTATATGCTTGTTATAATTATTTTAATGATCAAAATTTACTGAGGAAGTTGGCAGTTCCCAGGATGAGTTACAATAATGACAAGAAGGGGAAGACAAATGTAATATTTCTTTTTTAAGTAATGGGCATAACCCAAAGAAATTCTTAGAAAAATCGAGAAAGGAGAACCTGTAATACAACAATGACAATGGTTAGCTAACTATATCTGTGAAAAACAAAGAGATACACCAGTAATATGAAGAGAACGACAAATAAAATTACATAACACATAAATTTCCGATTATTTGTACGCTTTTTTGGTATTCCAAGGACTCGATGAAGTGTATTTGACAAAAGATTACTGGCATTGTCGAACGAGCCCTGAATTTCATCAAGAAATTTATTTTGTGACTTGGATTCAGTTTCAATATCTTTGGCGTACTGCAGAGAAAAATGTGAAAAAAAAGAATACAGAAAACAATGTGCAAATCGTCATATACATATTAATAAAAAGACTACATACTTATAATAATTATTCACCACTTATAACAAACAGATATTACAGGAGATAAAACGATTGCAGTCTACCATGCTATAGGTATAGTTTCTCCGACCATATATAGGGATTTAATATGTAGATTTTAGACGGTAAACTAGTCAATAGTCAATTATAAATACGACTAATTATAATAGCTAATGAAGTGAAATTAGTCGCCAAAACAAAACTAATTACTAACTAATCAACATCGAATCTATATGCTTTTACTCCCGGCCCCGAAATCATGAATTTTTCTCAGCTTAAAAATTGTTACATAAACTTGTACGAGGTCATTCAACTTATTCACTTGTCCTACTTTTAAAACCTTTTAAACAAATGCTCATCTTTTTGTAACGTGAGACGAGAAGTTAACGTTTCCAATTTATGGTATGGAGATTGACAATATAAATGAGGAAGTCAACATCGTTCAAAATTCACACTATTATGAAGATCACCTAATGCTAAGGACAAACACTTTGATATTAGGTAACATCCAGTTAATGGATGGTGAGTAGGCTTTACTCATTACACACAATGAACAAGTTTTTACAATAGGTTTACTCATAAGCCGCAGACTTGAACTTCACTGTAATTGTTTAGATTTGAGCTTCCGAATAGTATAACTAGCCCTCATATTGAGGGTGTAACTCAAACACGAATTCAGTACATGAGTAAAGGTTCAAAACTGATGATAGTAGCAAGTTTAGACAAAATGAAATGATGAATAAGTATAAAATAAACAAGGTCACAAAACACAATTTATTGATTATTCAGTGTACTAGAGAATAATTTTAAAATCGCAAGAATGGATAAAAAATGTAACAGGGAGTCGTAAATGTTAACAAGGAAGAAAAACATATTCATGAAGCGACCTTCCCTTACTATTTATTTATTGAAACAGATGTTCATTTATAGATTAATTAAAGTACAATAGCTTTTATGTACCATACAAAATGATAACTACACACACTGAATTAACAGTGACTATATACCCCAGAAACATGGACACTCTAGAGTAAACTTATATGGGGTATCCTCATTATTCTTGTTACTATTATTTAATTTCAATTCCATCTCATTGTGCTGCTGTGTTGTAGAGACTTTGACGAATGCGCGTCCGTGCCAAGCCATATGTTATGACTGATTAACTGAATAAAACTATTATTTGTACAAAAGAGTGGTTAAAATTACTGAGATATAAAACCAGATATACAAGCTGACTGAGAATATACAAATTACATTTTGCATATTTAAGCATAAAAATAGGTAAATCCATTTACCTAAAAACATTTGGAAATGATTCACACAACTACTAAATATTAAGTGCACTTAAATGTGGTATAAAGGATCAGGAAAGTATCCATAACTGTTACAGCAGATGGATTCGTTTGAGTTAACAGCCTTTAAAATATTTCCCTTTCGTAATAAGACCACGAAAAGAATCTGTGTAGGGTTAAGCTTACTTGGACTTCTTTAAAAACCGAGTCAATGTGTTAATTTTAAAGTCCAACAATCCGTTTACGTAGAAAAATAGAGTGCTTCGTTTAGTTAGCCTACTATAATCAGCCAATATAGTGTAGTAAAAATGAGCGTTATCGTCAAACTGGTTAGTTGTTAAACAATGGCTACTTATTCACATATCTATACGTAGGTGGACAGAAATTTCGTGATAAATACTTCCAAGTGTGTTGTGATGCATATCGGTCATCAAGGTACAGATACATACACGATGAATAACACTGAGCTACCTGTCGTCCAGACATATAATGACTTAGGAGTCATCGTTAGCCAAGACTTAAAGACTACTGCACACTGCCGTGCAATAGCCGCCAAAGGTTTTAGAACGTTATGGTCAATACGTAGGGCTTTTAGTCATGTCGACGCTAAAACGTTTTTGATTTTGTATACAGTATTCGTACGTCCTAAACTTGAGTACTGCATACAAGCGACCAGCCCCTGCTTAAAAAGAGACAGTGAGCTTCTGGAAAAGGTTCAGAGAACGGCAACTAAGCTGATTCCCGGAATAGCGAAGCTTTCATATGAAGCTAAACTGTCCAAGCTGAACCTTTTCCTGTTACCATAGCGCAGAACTAGAGGCGACTTGATTACAGTTTTCAAATTGCTTAGTGCCAAATTTAAACCTGATATACCCTCATTTTTCTTGTCTTCCAAAACAGAGAATTTACGAGGACACTCCAAAAGAGTTCACAAGCCAAGAACAAATTGCTTGTCAGCTGACTATCGACTTTCCCATCGAATCATCAACGAGTGGAACTCATTACTTCAGCACGTGGTTGAGGCTCCATCCGTCGACTCTTTCAAAAGAAAGTTGGATCAACTGAGGGACCACCATTGGGAGGACCAACACAGGCCATCAGGCCTCCTGTCCTTCCCAAACTGAAACTGAGATCTATTCCTCTACTTAAATAGAGGACTTGAGCACAACTTCGATTGTAGTGATCTATCGCTTATATGAAGACAGAAGCCATTTATTTAACCATAATACACTTGACCACTCCAAAAGCAAAATATTCGGCTTAACCGGTGATATTGTTGTTAAGGTGAAATACCACGAGTGATACATGGATAGGAGACGGTCTACTAAAATTCAACAAAAAACCAATGGTAATTTGAAAATAAATTTAGGTGCATGGAAGAGCTGGAGTTGTCATAAGACACGAAAATACACAGCCCTTTAATAAAAAAGCTGTAGTGTTATCGATAAAGCATCTAAAGTGAATTTTTATTAAAACCGTTTTGGTATATTGAAGTCAACTTCAGTACACGAAATTTCATACCAATTCCAGGCATCTGAATCCCGCATTTTGTCAATCTTACACAAGATTTCGGGGCAAAATTAGTTATAGATAAAAATCGCACAATATACGTGCTCTACAAACACAACTGAAATACATCACTATCTGTTAAGTAAAGTTTATAACGGTCTAAAAAAATGTTGGAAAAAATTTCTGTATACGTACTGCTTTAAGTAGAGAAACCTTGTGCGACATTTCTTCGGCCCTACGGTTGTTGTCTTGTTCTAAGAGAGAATGTGAAGCATCCATTGTCATCAATGTTCTAGTCTCCCTCGAGCAGATAGGGTGATACTGATTTTGTTTGATTCAGTGGTTTTACTGTCCAGAACTTCGATGTTTATTGATATAAGAGAATCTATATACATGCAGGATATTAGCTTTCTTCATATAATGTATCTTCTGAAGATAAGAAATAGGTAATCCCTCTAAGAGCGTTTACGTTGTAGATAAGCCTTGAACAAGTTAAACTATCCGCGCAGCCTTTATTGCAATGATCAAATGGTTCAAATGGTTGTGGACGGAATAGAAGAAGCTTTCGCTTAACAGGCTTCCGTGTCTAGTAGCAGAGGATCACCAAATCCTCCAGGCAGGAACCTAGGTATGTTAACAATAAAAGAGGACAAGAAATTGGTAAATCATAGTATGATGCTGTCCTTGTTCCTTAAGAATAGGTCAAGTTGCCTCTTGAAGGACTCCTGAGAAGTCGCTTGGACTAGCTCGGCTGGCAGCGAATTCCAGCTTTTGACAACTCTTAAGGAGTAGAAGTTGTGTCTATAAGATCCATTTTGAATGCCTTGTGTGTTTGTGAAAATCCCTCCATGTATATACTTACACTTTGTTCCTATTGATTCTTTTAATTGTACATTGTTAACATTTTGACTACATTTGAATTGTTAATACTTGTATTTTATTATAGTTTCGTTTTTACTACACCTTCACCAATTCCCCATGTTTCTTCCCGAACTGCACTTATGTTGTTTTACTTTATACTAAGTCTGGGCGGCAGCCATTTTGGTTTATCCTTGCTTTGGATTGCTTGACCTGTGTTGACTGGAATTGTGCATTTTGGTTGTGAATTGAAGCACTCTTCCAGAATTGAAAACACTCTGTGTTATAGAGCGACCAATTATTACCTTTTGAACGAATCTGTACGTGATCTATCCAGACAGGATAGAATAACATTTATTTGTGGTGATTGTTTAGATTTGATCAATTAAACAATTATTGGTTGGATAGCTGTGTGGTTATATTTGTTTAGATAATAATGTATACTTAAATTTATGATAAATTATAGAACCGCTATCTTACCCAATTACCTTGTTTTGGTTTCAAACGGGCGAGGGCGCGTATCGAACTTATCCAGGCAGCTGTCCAGCAGTCCAAACGTGGTTTGGATCCTACAGTTCTAAACAAATATTACTTGGCCGAAATCCTTTGGTAATCGTTCACGGATTTTCTGGAAATAATTGGTCGTGTCGCTTATAATGCCAGTTAATCGTCGTCGGAGATCAGGCTCAAAGTTCGTCGATGTTAACGAAGAATCCCCTATCGTCAAGCAAGTACCTTTTGATGTCCTTAAGGGTCATGGTTCAGACTTAAATAGGGTTAATTATCATGGCAGTGATTCTAGCCTTAATTCGATGTCAGATGATGTAAAAAATCTTAGTTTAAAGGAGGAGCAAAGGCCTGAATTACTAGGAAAGAGCATGTCGCCTATAGTTCATGTTGTTGGCCCAGAGCTACCAAAGGTTGAACTGAGTTATTTCGATGGAGAGCCAAGAGGTTATTGGAAATTTATAAGGCAATTTGAGACGTATGTAGCGTCAAGAGTCACGGATGATAGCCAGCGCTTACTCTATTTGATACACTACTGTAAGGGCAAGGCTAAAGCAGCTATTGAAGGTTGCGTCATGATGGAGGCATCCTCTGGCTATAAAAGAGCAAGGGAGATTTTAAAACGTTTTTTCGGACAGTCTCACGTAATTGCTCGAGAAACACTAGAGGACTTATTCAGTGCTGTGAATTTTGAGTATATTGACGGGGACCAACTATCAAATTTGGCTATTAAAATGGAAAACTGTGCCATGGTCTTGGAGCAGATGAATTATACTTCTGATCTAAATTCCTTAGTTACCTTGGAAAGAATAGTGAGACTCTTGCCGCAACCTTTGCAAGCCCAGTGGGCGGACTGGGTGGATAAATTGACTGAAGATAACAGGGAACCGACCTTCGACGAGCTCACTCAGTTTATCGCATCGCGTGCGAGAGTGGCTTGTAGTAGATTTGGACGGTTAGCAAACCGTTCAAGAAAAGGACATAACGTAAAGACGAACTGTCACGTGCAATCAGAGCAAGGGAATAGTTCGACAACGAAAACTAAATGCAGTATGTGTTCCTACGACCATGCTATTGATAAATGTCCACAGTTCTTAGCGCTTACAGTTCAAGACCGATGGTCTCACGCTAAAAGCAAGGGTATCTGTTTTGTTTGTCTTAGACAAGGACATAAGGTTAATGAATGTAAGATGACAAGGCTCTGTAACGTTGACAGTTGTAAGAAGAGACATCACGTTCTGCTGCACACTGACTCGACAAGCAACGTCGTAAATGATAAGCCATCATGCTCGGAATATAGGAAAAGAGTTGTTAATCATATCAGTAAGGTACAGACACTGGAGAACGAAATACGTAAGCTTTATGATGAGTTTTCAGATGCTTATTCAAGTGATAAATCATTATCAGTAGACGACAAGGCGGCTATAAAGATTGTGGAAGGGGGCACGCACTTCGGCGACGGTCATTTTGTAGTTTCTATACCGTGGAAAAAGAATCCAAATATGAAAGTGGATAATTATGAAGTAGCAAACCGTAGATTACAAAGTTTGAAAGGTATGTTGTCGAAGGACGTCAGCCTGAACATCAGGTACATCAAAAGTATTGAAAGTAATTTTACTAAGACTTATGCGGAGAGGGTCCTTGAAATATATTTGCAGCCTAATTATCGCCCTCGAGGGTATTTACCTCATCATGCAGTGTTAAACATGAAAAAACCAGAGGAACTTAGAGTGGTCCTTGATTGTGCCGCCGAGTTTGCAGGGTTTTCCACAAATGATATGATTTATCAAGAACCCGATACCACTGATGAGTTAATGTGTATATTATTAAGTTTTCGCAAGGAGGCAGTTACAATCCCTGCAGATGTTGAAGAAATGTTCATGCAATTGGTCTCTGAGTCTGATCGAGGAGCTTCAAGATTTCTGTGGTGGCAGGAGGGAGACATGTCGAGGGAACCATCTGAGTTTCAAATGACATCTCATCCATTTAGTGCCATATCATCGCCGTTTCGTGCGAACTTTACCTTGAATAAGACGGCTCAAATATTCTCTGACGGTTATGATGGTTATGTTGTAGATGCTGTCAAGAATAATTTCTATGTTGATGATTGCTTGATATCCTTTCCACATTGTGATCAAGCAAAGAGTTTCGTTAAGCATATAAGTGAATTATTATGTAGAGGAAGTATACAAAAAATGACTGATCTTGAGCTTTGGTTCAAATGTCCTACCTTAATGCATGGCGAGTTTTGTACAGCAATCACTGACTGTCCGGAACCTACTCCTGACGATATTGAGTTTAGAAAAACTGCTGTGGTTAACTTGAGTAGTATAAAGTACAACAGGACACCTGTTCTCTCTTATTATTCCGAGTGGTTGAAATTAGTCAGAGCTGTAACCTGGTCTAGAAGGTTCATCGAATTCCTGATGGTACTTCGTTTACCGAGTTGTGAAGGATCCGTTCATCTAGGATGTTTAAAGGTCAAGGAGCCTGACATCGCCGAGGGTAAGAATTTATTGATGGTTCAAAAGGAAGTGTGTGGAGAATTATTTAGTGAATTTAGAAACAGAAGTAAGGTAGTAAGTCATGATGATCTGAAAGGCTTATCACCGATAATGCTTGATGGATTGCTCTGTGTTACAGGTCGTCTAAGCTACTCAGAATTCTTAAATGCTTTTAAACATCCAATAATATTGCCCAGTCGACACTTAGTGACAGAAATGATAATTAGACATTATCATAAGGAACAAGGGCACACAGGAACGTCACAAGTACTGGCCACGATTCGAAAAAGGTATTGGATAATAAAAGGAACCAGCACGGTTAGGAGAGTGATAGGAAAGTGTGTGACATGCCGGCGGTATACGATGGTTACAGGGCAACAATTGATGGCACCACTTCCAGCTTGTAGAGTGCAACAAGGATGGTATAGCTTCTCAGCCGTGGGAGTAGACTACTTTGGACCCCTTTTTGTCAAAAGAGGAAGATCACTAGAAAAAAGATATGGATGTGTATTTACTTGCTTGCAAACCCGAGCAGTACATATTGAAATGACACATAGTTTGAATACTGATTCGTTTATAATGGCCTTGCTACGTTTCATTGGAAGAAGAGGGAAACCTGCCGAAATTTACAGTGACGATGGATCAAATTTCGTGGGTGCGGTCTCTGAATTAAGGAGATTTGTGCAACAGTTGAATCAACAGAAAATAGACAAAGAACTGTCAGCTAGACAAATTCAATGGCATTTTAACCCGCCCTCATCCAACAGCATGGGTGTAATTTGGGGAAGAGTGATTAGGCATATACCAAGACTGTTATTGTTAATCACAAGAGAACAGGTGAAGCAGGTCTCCTTGAAGCTTTGGATTAGTCTTTGTTGTTATTGATGTAGTTAGGTCGAGTAGGCGTACTGTCGTAAGTCCTACTCGTTCCTATGGTGTGATATGTTATATAATGAATCATGACCATAGGCATCAAGGTAGCTTGTGTGAGATGGAGGGATTTTGGGGGCCGGTGTAAGATCCATTTTGAATGCCTTGTGTGTTTGTGAAAATCCCTCCATGTATATACTTACACTTTGTTCCTATTGATTCTTTTAATTGTACATTGTTAACATTTTGACTACATTTGAATTGTTAATACTTGTATTTTATTATAGTTTCGTTTTTACTACACCTTCACCAATTCCCCATGTTTCTTCCCGAACTGCACTTATGTTGTTTTACTTTATACTAAGTCTGGGCGGCAGCCATTTTGGTTTATCCTTGCTTTGGATTGCTTGACCTGTGTTGACTGGAATTGTGCATTTTGGTTGTGAATTGAAGCACTCTTCCAGAATTGAAAACACTCTGTGTTATAGAGCGACCAATTATTACCTTTTGAACGAATCTGTACGTGATCTATCCAGACAGGATAGA